CCTGGAGGCGGTGACGGACCGAGCGGTGTGTTGGTGTGTGCAGAGAATTTCGTGATTTATAAGAATCAGGGACACCCAGATGTTCGAGCTGTGATTCCTAGGCGTGTTGATTTACCTGCTGAGCGTGGGGTTCTGATAGTTTCGGCAGCTATGCACAAGCAGAAATCGATGTTCTTTTTTCTTTTGCAGACCGAGTATGGAGATATATTTAAAGTTACTTTAGAGCATGACAATGACCGTGTTACGGAATTGAAAATCAAGTACTTTGATACAATTCCCGTTACATCTTCTATGTGTGTTCTGAAGTCCGGTTTTCTATTTGCTGCATCTGAATTTGGGAATCACTCATTGTATCAGTTCAAGGCTATAGGGGATGATGATGATATAGAGTCTTCCTCTGCTACGTTGATGGAAACTGAAGAAGGTTTCCAGCCTGTGTTTTTCCAACCTAGGCGACTTAAGAACCTCGTAAGGATTGATCAGGTTGAGAGTTTGATGCCAATTATGGACATGAAAGTCCTTAATCTCTTTGAGGAAGAAACATCTCAAATATTTACGCTCTGCGGACGGGGTCCTCGGTCTTCTCTCAGGATATTAAGACCAGGTTTGGCAATCAGCGAGATGGCCGTGTCAGAACTTCCTGGTGTACCAAGTGCAGTATGGACTGTGAAAAAGAATATCAATGATGAGTTTGATGCATACATTGTTGTGTCATTTGCAAATGCTACTCTCGTGCTTTCAATTGGTGAGACAGTTGAAGAAGTTAATGATAGTGGGTTTCTTGATACAACCCCTTCACTTGCCGTTTCTTTGATAGGAGACGATTCTCTTATGCAAGTTCACCCAAATGGCATTAGGCATATCAGGGAAGATGGACGCATCAATGAGTGGAGAACTCCTGGGAAAAGAACGATTGTTAAAGTTGGCTCTAATAGACTTCAAGTAGTTATTGCTCTGAGTGGAGGAGAGCTTATATATTTTGAGGTTGATATGACTGGTCAACTAATGGAGGTGGAGAAACATGAGATGTCTGGAGATATTGCTTGCTTGGATATTGCCCCAGTACCCGAAGGGAGACAGAGATCTCGTTTCTTGGCTGTTGGTTCATATGACAACACAATTCGTATCTTGTCACTGGATCCTGATGACTGTATGCAGATTCTGAGCGTGCAAAGTGTTTCTTCCACTCCAGAATCTCTTCTTTTTCTCGAAGTTCAGGCATCAATTGGTGGGGAGGATGGTGCTGATCATCCTGCTAGCCTTTTCCTTAATGCTGGTTTACGAACTGGGGTTTTGTTCAGAACTGTGGTGGATATGGTGACAGGTCAACTTTCTGATTCCCGATCTCGCTTCTTGGGACTGAGAGCTCCAAAGCTGTTTTCCATCATTGTGAGAGGAAAGCGTGCAATGCTTTGTTTGTCGAGTCGGCCTTGGCTTGGCTACATTCACCAAGGACATTTTCTTTTAACACCCCTCTCCTATGAAACCCTTGAATATGCTGCCTCATTTTCATCTGATCAGTGTGCAGAAGGTGTAGTTGCTGTTGCTGGTGAAGCTTTAAGGGTTTTTACTATTGAAAGGTTGGGAGAAACGTTCAACGAAACTGTCATTCCACTAAGGTACACTCCAAGAAAGTTTGTACTTCAACCCAAGCGGAAGTTATTGGTAATTATTGAGGGTGATCAGGGAGCTTTCCCAGCAGAAGAGCGTGAAGCTGCAAAAAAGGAGTGCTTTGAGGCCTCTGGAATGGGAGAAAACGGAAATGGTAACATGGAAATGGAGAATGGTGGTGAGGATGAGGACAGGGACGATCCCCTATCTGATGAGCATTATGGTTATCCCAAGGCCGAGTCTGACAGATGGGTTTCTTGCATCAGAGTTCTTGACCCAAAGACTTCAAGTACCACTTGCCTTTTGGAGCTTCAGGATAATGAAGCTGCATTCAGTATATGTACTGTGAATTTTCATGATAAGGAGTATGGCACTCTTTTAGCAGTTGGTACAGCGAAGGGACTGCAGTTTTTTCCGAAGAGAAGTTTAACTGCAGGATTCATTCACATATACAGGTTTCTAGAGGATGGAAAATCCCTTGAACTTCTGCACAAAACACAAGTGGAAGGTGTTCCTCTTGCTTTGTGCCAATTTCAGGGGAGATTACTTGCTGGAATAGGACCGGTGCTCAGATTATATGATCTTGGGAAAAAGAGATTGCTTAGGAAATGTGAGAATAAGCTCTTCCCCAACACAATCGTATCAATTCAAACATATCGTGATCGAATTTTCGTTGGTGATATTCAGGAGGTATGCTCTAATTTTCACCACCCCCCTCCCCCCTCTTTTTTTTTTTAATTTAATTTTTTTAATTTTTTTTAATTTTTTGAATTTTATTTTTCGGGTTCTTAGGCGTGCAATTCTTGAGAGTTTTTCACTGAGAGCCAATACTTGCACGTTTCTGTTTATTTACTTTAGACTCTAACTCTCTACTTTCTCATTTCCTCCCCTATTTTTGCAGTCATTCCATTATTGCAAGTACAGGCGAGATGAGAATCAGCTGTACATATTTGCCGATGATTGTGTCCCAAGATGGCTCACTGCATCGTATCACGTGGATTTTGACACAATGGCAGGTGCAGACAAGTTTGGTAACATCTATTTTGTGCGATTACCACAGGATGTTTCAGACGAGATAGAAGAAGATCCAACTGGTGGGAGGATAAAGTGGGAGCAGGGAAAGTTGAATGGAGCTCCCAACAAGGTAGAGGAGATAGTGCAGTTCCATGTTGGCGATGTGGCCACTTGCTTGCAGAAGGCTTCTCTGATTCCAGGTGGTGGGGAGTGCATGATTTATGGGACAGTGATGGGCAGTTTGGGGGCACTGCTTGCATTCACATCCCGTGACGATGTTGACTTCTTTTCTCACTTGGAGATGCATATGAGGCAGGAGCATCCACCCTTATGTGGAAGAGATCACATGGGTTATAGATCTGCTTATTTTCCAGTCAAGGTAAAATATTTTGTTTCCTTATTTGCTGGCATGGAATGCTTAATGTGTTTATGATGTCATTGACGTTGTCCCTTTCTTCTTCTTTTTTTTTTTAATTACAAAAAGGATTTTATTCAATTAAACATTCATTTATAGCTTGTGTCTTGCATGCACTAGCACTATATATCATCTTCATTGGATTGCAGCAGTGGAAAATTTATTGTTTTGCGTAACGTGTCCCACCATGCCTTTCGTTAATGTGGCTTGAGTAGTAAATAATTTTGGTTTTTTGTGAAATTCTTGTTTTAGGTTGAAACATATGATTAATGAGCATAAGGTGACATGGAAAATGTGACATGTAACAGATTAGGATATGCAATGAAAATTGTTTGGGAGTTTGTATTTTGTAAATGAATTACGCATTGGAAATTCAAAGTATTATTTAGTTAATGTATAATTGTTTTATGCAATGATAAGATTGAGGCCCTTCGCTTTCAAGTTGAGACAATGAGTTAATTTGTAAATTTATGTGAGAGAAACTACTGTAGTAGAAAAAAATTTAAATTTTTGTGAGAGAAACACTGTCATTGAGTTGTGATTCGATAGTTCGAAACAAACGAGGCCTGAATATGTTTGACGGCTCAAAGTTCATGTTGAAGCCTAATTTTTCAGTTTTTTCATATCCAGTTTTAAGTAAGATTTTGGAGCAGTGTTGACCATTATTGGATTATTTTGCAGGATGTAATTGACGGAGATCTTTGCGAGCAATTCCCAACATTGCCCCTGGATTTGCAGAGAAAAATTGCAGATGAGTTGGATAGAACGCCTGGGGAGATTCTTAAAAAACTTGAAGAAATCCGGAACAAGATTATCTGAGAAGGATCATAAAAAGGGTACTCCTCTCTCTTTTCCGTCTCTTTAAATTATTTTCCATACCGTGCATTCTAATCATATCTTAGAGCGGGACAATTATCATTCTTCAATCTAAATTTGTCTCTGGATAAAAAATTTGATACGATCAATTGGCCAATACATGACAAGGGCAGATACATTGTCTTGTTTGTGTATGCAGTTTTTCGTAGCACTAACTGGATGGGCAGGCGTGCGTAGTGAGTTCATGTTGATCAGCGTCACACTAAAGCGGGAAAAGCATGCCAAAATTCTGCTTTCATTTTAAGAAGGGAGATGTTTTTTTATTAAGGATACAGAGAAGGATGACCTTATTGAGAGTATCCAAAGTTATATTGAGAAATCTGATATTCCATCCTCGCACTTTGTAGGCTTCATTTGTATTGTTGTAATTAGTGTAATAGATTTTGCTTCGTCTTTCCAACCTTCCGTGGAATAGATTTAGTGATACTAATTAGATTGAATCTACATCTGGGTTCGAACCACCTCATGGCACCTATATATGAAAACTGTCAGAGTTTTCTTGCCTTCTAAAGTTTGATGGGTTTAGTGGAAGGTTCTAGTTTTAAATCTGGGCTCACAATATAAGCTCGGGAGATTTCTGGATATTAAAAGGGAAATTTTTTATGAATCTTTATCTTCCTGATGATGGAATTAAGCTTGCACTGTAATTTAAGGGTCCGTTTAGTTCGCTGATTTGAGTTTTTAATTTGAGTTGAGATGTGTTTATGTGAGTTTTTTTACTGTAATAAAAAAATTAGATGTGACTGTTTTTGAGAGTTTTTTATTGTAATAAAATTTAAATTCTAAACTCGAATTGGTGAAATGAACGGGACTTAAAAAACTCGTGTAATTTCAAGTTTTTATAATTGAAATTTTCAAGATGATTTGAGAGCATGAGTCTAGGATTTGCTTAATTATATAGCTTAATAATCTAGTTTCTGGTGCCTTTTTCATAGTGTTATTGCTGAACAAAGTCCAAAGTGCGTATGTAGTGAGGCATGTGAAAGGTGAAGCATGTGATTTGATAGATGTTGCTTTCTACATTTTTTTTTTTTTTTTTGAAGAGGGATTGAACCAAAAGCCAAAATATATAATTTCTCGGACAAAAAAGAAAAAAAATAAATTTCTATCAAATTAATTTCCAGAGATGACACTCTCTTAACGTTCGGTACATTAGAAAGCCGTTTCAGGCTGTTGTGCAGGACCATAATATACAAAAGTACACAACACAAGAACATATAGCTGTTTTTAATTATTATTTTTTTCTCTCCTACTAAGTTTGTTTTCTATTGGGTTTTTTGGGCGAAAGGGTCATTCTCAGCTTTAATTTCATTCTCCAACCTTGCGTTTCCTGAGGCAACTATCTCATTTAACCAACCAATAATGTCCGAAAACACAATGTCAATGTTCTCCGGTGGCTCTCCGTAGAGAAGACCGTGCCACATTCCCGGATACAACTTGAAGGTCTTGTCCGGACTCAAAGCGACTTCGTATAGCTGCCTGCTAACCGATTTGTCGGTAACTCTGTCTTCACCTCCATGCAAAACGATGAACGGCAATGAGATCTATAAACAAACACACACAAAAAAACAAGTTCAATTAACTTTACGTAGACAGTTCAATGAGAAAAGAAGTGACTCCAACAAGGTAAATTAAAGTTAATACATATATAAAATATGTACCTCTTCAAGCTCCTTCTCAAGAGCCGTACTAACTCTCAAAAGTTCATAGCCGGTTTTCAAGCGAGGCCGGCCCTTGTAACAGTATGGGTTGGTTCTAACCTGTAACAACCGTATCGTTTATGTTATTATTATTATTTTTTTCTTAACTAAGAGAGTAGTTTTTACCGTCGGTCCTATCTCTTTAATTTTTTTTCACTTTGTTCTCTGTTTTTTGATTTTGACAAAACAACCCGGAACTTTTTAAATATTGACAATTAATGGATTTCAATTCACATCTGTCAAAAACCTCATGGAAACTCGTGCGGAGGAAACACGTACCGCTTGTCTAACCTCAGGAACCTTAAACGCAAGATCAAAATTTTTTTTTGAATCTTTATCTTCCTGATGATGGAATTAAGCTTGCACTGCAACTTAAAGGCCCATTTAGTTCGTTGATTTGAGTTTTTAATTTGAGTTGAGATGTGTTTATGTGAGAGTTTTTTTACTGTAATAAAAAAATTAGATGTGATTATTTTTGAGAGTTTTTTATTGTAATAAAATTTAAATTTTAAACTCGAATTGGTGAAATGAACGGGGTTTAAAAAACTCGTGTAATTTCAAGTTTTTATAATTGAAATTTTCAAGATGATTTGAGAGCATGAGTCTAGGATTTGCTTAATTATATAGCTTAATAATCTAGTTTCTGGTGCCTTTTTCATAGTGTTATTGCTGAACAAAGTCCAAAGTGCGTATGTAGTGAGGCATGTGAAAGGTGAAGCGTGTGATTTGATAGATGTTGCTTTCTACTTTTTTTTTTTTTTTTTTTTTTTTTTTTTTTTTTTTTTTTTTTTTTTTTTTTTTTTTTGAAGAGTGATTGAACCAAAAGCCAAAATATATAATTTCTCGGACAAAAAAAGAAAAAAAAATAAATTTCTATCAAATTAATTTCCAGAGATGACACTCACTTAACGTTCGGTACATTAGAAAGCCGTTTCAGGCTGTTGTGCAGGACCATAATATACAAAAGTACACAACACAAGAACATATAGCTGTTTTTAATTATTATTTTTTTCTCTCCTACTAAGTTTGTTTTCTATTGGGTTTTTTGGGCGAAAGGGTCATTCTCAGCTTTAATTTCATTCTCCAACCTTGCGTTTCCTGAGGCAACTATCTCATTTAACCAACCAATAATGTCCGAAAACACAATGTCAATGTTCTCCGGTGGCTCTCCGTAGAGAAGACCGTGCCACATTCCCGGATACAACTTGAAGGTCTTGTCCGGACTCAAAGCGACTTCGTATAGCTGCTTGCTAACAGATTTGTCGGTAACTCTGTCTTCTCCTCCATGCAAAACGATGAACGGCAATGAGATCTATAAACAAACACACACAAAAAAACAAGTTCAATTAACTTTACGTAGACAGTTCAATGAGAAAAGAAGTGACTCCAACGAGGTAAATTAAAGTTAATACATATATAAAATATGTACCTTTTCAAGCTCCTTCTCAAGAGCCGTACTAACTCTCAAAAGTTCATAGCCGGTTTTCAAGCGAGGCCGGCCCTTGTAACAGTATGGGTTGGTTCTAACCTGTAACAACCGTATCGTTTATGTTATTATTATTTTTTTTTTCTTAACTAAGAGAGTAGTTTTTACCGTCGGTCCTATCTCTTTAATTTTTTTTTCACTTTGTTCTCTGTTTTTTGATTTTGACAAAACAACCCGGAACTTTTTAAATATTGACAATTAATGGATTTCAATTCACATCTGTCAAAAACCTCATGGAAACTCGTGTGGAGGAAACACGTACCGCTTGTCTAACCTCAGGAACCTTAAACGCAAGATCAATGATGTCGTTTGTGGGGATGATTTTCCAGGTTGGAATGATCTTGCTAAGCTTTGTCAAAATACTGATCACCACAGGATGTGGCTTCACATCATCCGCAATCTGTTAAATATATAAAACGTTAAGAAAATAAATAAAACGTTAAGAAAATAAATAAAAAAATAAAAAAAATGACAACCTAAATAAGACTCTGGATTAGGTAACGCTTGCAAGCTTAAATAATTTGAAAACTTAATTTGACTCTGTGGAATAATTCAAACTAGAAAAGTTTCTAGATTACACACTAACTAATTAAAACAAAAGGCCCCACATTTGATTTACACGCTGAGTATATATTCGACAAGATTTGTTCCGACTTCATGTGAGTAATAAAATATAAAGATATGGTCAACTAATTCATTTTTAAACACAATTTACAGCTATCAAACGTACTTTTAATTCAATTATAAAAAAAATATACTTTTAACTCTTGTTTATAGAAACGTTAAAGGAAACACAAGATAACATAATTTTAGTTGTCAACTTGAGCAATCATGTCATTTTGATAATTATAGGGCCCGTTTAGTTTGCTGATTCGAGTTGATATGTGACTTTATGCGAGAGCTTTTTACTATAATAAAAAAGTTAAATTTGACTATTTTTTAGAGTTTTTTACTGTAACAAAACTTGAATCCTAAACTCGAATCAGTGAAATGAACGAGACCGTAATCTACGATTGTATCTTATATAATTTACGTGATTTAGAGATTTTTCTAATAACTACTGACAATTAAAAATATTTTATTTTCGACTGTTAAATCAATATTTGTTCATTTTACATATATTTTTAATCTGATATAATTTTTATTAGATCTAACAATTTAAAAATTAATAGTATAAAAAAAAGATCCTATTTATTTTTTCTGAGACCGTCAACTATGACTTCTCGTTACTCATGACCAATAAGGAAAAAAATACAAAAGGGAAAAAGTACAAAATATTGGCAAGACTTTTTCTTAACTGCTGAGAAAAGTTTAAGGGCATAACATAAAAAGTTAGGTAACTCTTTTTTGCCGCACGCTTATGCCTTGGAGGATGAAAAAAATTGGACATGTCCTTGATGATTGATATGATTGGTTTTCTATGGAAACTTTCATTGACATGATTTAAAGTACAGAGTGTTGTTCATACCGTTTGAATTTCAAATATGATTTTGCAATATTTGAGCCAACAAATATCAATAGGCTACTCTAACGAATTACTAAAAATCTATATAAACGCACTAAATCGCAATAAATTCATAAGTAAATTTCATTTTTTTATATAAATAATAATATGGGATTGATCTAACATCCTCCCAAGTTCGTTTCTCCATTCTACTGTTTCTTAATTCATGTTGTTTAGTTTAGCGGTGATTATCTTAATTTTTGTTATTTTCTATATTAGTGTGTGTAGATCCAATTTTTAAGGAGGGCAAGGATAGACCTACACGTGAATCATGTCCCACCAAAAAAAGAAAAAAGAGCAAAAACATACAAAACTTGAAAAGAAAAAAGAACATGAATTTGAAAAGCATACCTTACACATAGGCGCGACCAAAACGGCACCGTCCCAAAAGTGTGGCTTCTTCTTGTGAACAAGCAGAGCTATTGCTCCTCCCAGGGACTCCCCCAACAAAAATCTCAATTTTCCTTTGTTTTCTTTCTTCTCTGCACAACCACAAAGAAAAAAAAAAAAAAAAAGAAAAGAAAAAAAAGAACCGTTACAACAATTGGACTCCAAGTATAGTTGGTGATAAAAACATTAGTGAAGAGAAAGAAATTATGTTGAAAAATATCACGCTCATAATAATAGAGGTAAAAATAAAAACTTTAGAATAGAGTCTGACCGCATATGGTCGTGAAATGGTCGGAGCAGTCATCGACGACGTTGTCAAAGTTGTTGACAAGGCCCTGCAAGCCACCTGATTTTCCATGGCCTTCGTAATCAATCCCGTAGATTGCGAATCCTGCTTTCACAAGCCGGACCGCCGTGCCTGAAAATCAAAGTTCAATTCCAGCACTTTTTTTTTTTTTTTTTTTTTTTTCTAGTAATCATATTCAAATTCAATTAAAAATGAAAAAGGAATATCAAATAATTTTGGCCAGAAAATCGAAGTACGTACTTTTCATTGTGACACTACATTCCATGGCGTAGCCATGGAAGATGAAAATCAAGGCTTTTGGGTCCTGATTTTTAGGCAACCATTGACATGTGAAAAGCTGCAATCCTCTAGAGTTATTGACATGACCCTGTTTTTAAAACCAAAAAAATATATATTTATATTTGATTATACATAAATATTCATTACGTGAGAAAATAAAAGAAATCGAAGCTTTTTTTTTTTTTTTTTTAATTTATAATTCTAACCTCTTCATAGGAGATGTCATCTGTTTCATGAGCCTGCGGAGGACAAAAGAAGAATAAGGAAACCTGAAATTAAAGTAAAAAAAAAAAAGGCAATATATGTGAAACTGAAGAAAGAGGAAATAGAGAGACAAACCATAAGAGAAAAGTGATCAATATTTCAGAAACTAGATTTTGAGATGAGCAGAGAAAGTGTCGTTAAGAGAGAGAAGTTTTGCAAGTGCATGAACTTTGAACTTTCATAACGCCTATTTATATTATAATTTGACATAATAGTGTTTTGTGCTCCTTCTGATATCTTTCCTCTCTCGGCCACTAATCTAATTAAATTTAATAATCTCCTTTAAATCTAATAATATCTTTGGACCATAAGGGTATTATTTTATTTTTGGCTTCCAAAATCCAAGCAATTTATTTTTTTTCAAAAGAAAATCCAAATTATTTAACTGTGGACCCACTCTAATTAATTCATATATATATATATATAAGGACATATGTATATTGTTATGGTGAGTTCATATCTCTTGTAAGCACCTTTTATTTTTTAATTTTTTTAATTTTTTAATTTTTTGGGTTTGCTATCATCCCTTGTAAGCTGAAAATGCAACTTGTCAAGATGCACATTTTCTGGAACGTTACAAATTTATTGGGGTTTGTTTTCTTCTTTGATCATGTGTTTTAGGTCAATGGCGGACGTGGGCAATTTGGGGATTAGCTCCTCCAATGGTCAAACCACTTGCCCCCATCTTTGTTTCCTATTTGCTTTGCTTATATATATATATATATATATATATATATATATATATTACCTAATGAATTTGGATTCTCCTTTTAATTGAAGTGAAAAAGATAATATGCCTTTCCAAAAAAAAAAAAGATAACATGAAGTTGGTCGAGATACCAGCCAAAATCACACGTAAGAAGAGGATAACGAGAGAGAGAGGATAAGTCTTTTTTGGCAAGTGGATTGACATGATTATTGTACTACCAATAATATATACTAAATCACCCTCAAAAAAATAATATCCACTAAATTTTGTTCACAAAAAAGAATTACACATACCCAATTTTACAAGAATTATTGGGCAACAAACTAATCATAATTATGATCGTCATTATGAATGTTTGGGCATACTGTCTATTAACATAATTTAAAAGAAAAAAAAAACACAGAGGCAATCTTTAAAAATAATTATGATCATCATAATAATTTCATTCAACTAATATTATAACCAGTGGAAATACGTACCAAAACCGATATAACAAACATTTCATTACGAGAAATAAATAGTCAAGCCATGCTTCGACTATAAAATTTAGAGGAACATTATAAAGTAGAAATAAATTAGGAAAATACAATATGGTTACATTTATACGGTTAATGATATGGACAAATATAATTTGGAGTAAATTTTGGCTTAAAAGTATGAAATAACGTAAATATACTATTTATGTGTCTAAGAACAATTCTAATAATGTTAGTTATTTCATATTTTTAGTCAAAAAAATTAATGATTTTAGCTCCTTTTTTATTTTTTAGCTTTTCTCCACTCCAACCATAAACTAAATGGTTAGCTATTTTGGTTAAAGTATTTTCTACTAGCTAAATATAGCTAGCAAGAAGTGGCTAGCTATTTGTTCTTTTTATTATTATATTCTTTATTTTGACATAAGTAAAAGTTAAAAAAATGACATATTTTAAACTCAAAAAAAAAAAAAATTAAAATAATCTATATTTAGCTAAAATTGAGAGTATGATTATTGTGACTCACTAAAAAGTTGCTAGCTAAAATAACTTTTTAACTATTTTAGTTAGAATTTAGCTAAAATTTAGAGATCTTCCTTAAAGATACTCAAATACGTTAATCATAAAAAATATGTGGATAAAAATAAGTGAATTAAAGTTGGAGAATATTCTAAAAGAATTATAATCATTACTAACTTATTAGGGAGAATGAGGGAAATAATATATTTAATAGAGTAAATTATAACATAATTTTCTTTAAATAAGTAGATTATAGCATAATTAAATATCTTAGTTTTCAACAATATTAAAAACCCAAAAATACCCTTCAATTCTATCTTAGAGTATTGTAAGGTTCTTATTGTCCCCCTCCCTCCGCCCACTTTTTTTCGTTATGCTAAAATCCAGCACCGACTTTGGGCTGGCTGCTAGATCTCTGGCCTGGAGGAGAAGGCGACGCACAATTCGGGTTTGCAGCGGAGGAGGTTGACGACTAGAGGATGATCGACTAGGTGAGGGTGGTTTGTGGTTTGCGATTCTCAAAAGGTTTATCGATCCCAGGGTGTGCAAATCCATAATAAACATATAGAAATTATTGTGCGTCAAATAACATTAAAAGTGTTGGTTTCAGAAGATGGAATGTCTAATGTTTTTTTACCCAACCCTAGACACTCTAAGATCCTTTTTCAAACCTGCTCGGGCTGAAATCACGACTGCTGGAAATCAGAATCGATGATCAACAAAGGACAGGGAGCCAGGAAAAGGAGGTCTTTTGGTGGTGGTTGTGTTTGTCTCTTTCATACCGTGGTAAAATTTTTGCTTGTTTATTTTATTTTTGTCCAACAAGTGTGGCAGGATTTCCTTCGCTTCAGTTTTATGTAGTTTAGTTTTGTAAAGGTTTTCTCACAAGAGTTGTTTATTTGCAGTGTTGTTAATGGCCTCAATGTTGTAGATCCTTTTCTCTCGACCAATTGGAGCGTTTCATCGATTGTCCGGATTTGTTTAAATTAAAGAGCCAATTGAGTGCTTTGATACTTGGTTCACCTATGTGTTTTTTCGTTGAGAAAATTAGGCGTACATTTTTGTATCCTTTGCACGTCACTATATTGTATTAGTGTAACCAATCGTTTGTTGAGATTAAATATCCTTATATACCGAGGACAATTTTGACATGTGTATTTTTTTTTATTTAAAATACAAATCACCTATTTCGCAACTATAAAAAATACAAATAACATAAAGTACTTTATGCTGAAATCAGCAGCAATTGAAATAATATTTGAACTAAAATAGAGTAAATAACATTCCACAAAAAAAAAAAAAAAGAGTAAATAACATGATGCCAACCAAAATATAATTAAAATAGCATAAAAGTTCTTAACAACCAGTAATTGATAGTTTCACGTAGCTTCAAAATCAAAAGGGTTAATTTCGTTTGTCAAATTATTTTACTAGTGCACGCATACATATTTGGGGGCATAGTGATTTTATTTTTATTTTTATTTTGAACGAGTTGACTCATAAATCAGAAAGTAAAAAGGTCACGTTGCCAATGTGGAAAATTTGTGTACATGTATATAGTTCTAGAGCTTTTGAGGGCTAGCATTAGGAATGTGAAACTCTTGAAGAAAATAAAATAAAAACTGGGATCCAAACCAAGCGCGTGATAAAAAGAGGGAACGACAATTTTGACATTGCCTTGCACGTGGAGATGGTAGTACACTCCAATTTGCTTCCATTGGCCGACTCTGCTTTGCTTCCATTGGCCGACTCTGCTTTGCTTTATAATTAGTTAATTACTCATGTATTTATATACGGAACATTCTTCAATAAACCTCTTTATCATAAATTAATTTCTCACCGTTAGATTATATTAAAATTACAATAATTTAAAAAAAAAAGTAAAATTGACCATTTTATAACAATTAAAAATTATAAATAGTTTATTTTTTCTAGTTCTACGAAAGAAACATCCTCTATATATACTTCTTGTTTGGTTAAGAATTGATCAGGAGAAAAGTAGGCACATGAATCATGTCATGCGTTTTCTTTTTCTAACCCTTTTTATGGACAAAATGAAGGAAAAAGTATCATAAAAAGGGCACTTTATATATTGACGCATTCATTTTGAGGACCTTATCGACATCTGAAGGACGTTAAATATGATCTCTCCAAAAATGATGTCACTAGAATGCATAAGTGGGAAAAGCTATTTCAAAGTTCCCTTTTCTTATTTGGGAGTGCGTAATTTGTTGTTACAAAAACCTTACTGGTATAGGTCACAACTATAAATCTTCTCATTGGAGATCATATAGATATACATTAGGATTTAGATTATATTACATTAGAATTATTATTATTATTTAATATATTTGGATTTAGATTCCTTTCAGATTATATATTTACATCCTATAAATAGGATGCTTATCTCATGTGTTATGTAAGCAGTGAATATTGTATTTTTTATTGTTGCAAAGCCTTTCATCCAAAAATAAAAAATAAAAAAGCCTTATCATTCCTTCTCTCTTCACTATTTTGAATTGGATAATCTCACATAGAGCGTATGAAACATGTTAGGTTAATAATGTATCTAATTTTACATTTTATATAAGAAAACAAATATAATGTATAATATAAGTTCTCCACTTGGTCTCTTTTCCTGGGACTTGAGCAACTAGAAAATATCAGAATAATGGACATTTATTTCTCCGGTTCTGAATTCTGAATTGCTATTTGAAATCTGTATTTGCGCTAATGTTAACTTGAAATTCAAACAAAGGCTACCCACGTTTCAACCTAGTGCCAAAATATGAAATTTAGTAATATATGGCCCACAGATAATTCTTGTTGATAATTTTACCACAATACGTATCTGAGTCAATAGTCATGCCTCGTTTTCTAACTGAATTCTCAAGAGTGATCTTTTTTCTATCTTTATCTTCTTATATGGATTGGAGTAATATTTTTATTATTTTTATTTTTATTTTTTGAGAATCATATGGATTGGAGTTTAGGGTACTGTTTTGACGGCTAATCATGCAAGACGCGTTAGATTTTCTGATCGGAATGTTTCATGAATTTCTCAATTTAAAATCAACATTGCTCTGTGTGTGTGTGTGTGTGTGTGTGTGTGTGTTATATAGATATATTGGAAAGCAAAGTGTTGTATAAATTAGTCTCAAACATATTATCAGTCAGCTACCATACACGTGGATGAATGGTAATTAACCTAAGTGCCTGCATTTTGGACCGACCGCTTATGATGCTCGTTTCAATTTAATTAACTTTTAGGGTATTTATGTTTAGTATTTGATTAGGACAAATGTCATGGTTTAATCATTTCTATTTTTGTATTCTGAATGAGTCAATTAACTCTTAGGATGTGGATTCAATTGTTTGTAATTTTCTCTTGGTTTTTCTAGTCCTGAATGAAAGCATTTTATTAGTGGCCGGATAATGTTCCTTTGCTTT